GTGATTCTTGATTTTTGACTCTCCTTATATCAAATGTCTAGTTGGTAAGTTTGAGTTCAAACTTTCATAGTAAAAATGTAATATAAAAAGATAACATAATATACAGCATGTTTGAACAACCAAATAAATACATACAACTCTTTATTTCGGTTAGAAAATGATAGGGACACTGAAAATGAGCAGAGAAGGCCTTGGCAGAGGTAGATATAAGGATTTTTTTTTTGTTTTAAATGGAAACTAGCTGTATGGAGAAGGTAGATAGAAGGTGGGTTTTATAATATAAAACCCTTATCTGACAGCTTTTTTAAGGTGAAAGTGTCACTTCGGTGGATGTTATGGTTCCTCATTCCCTGGCCCTATTAAACACTATTGAAGTGTCTAATATGACGAGAAATACATAGGAGGTAATTAGGGATTATTCTAGCCTCGGTGAGGGAATAATCTAAATTTTATTAAAGACATGAGGCGAATATTTGCTTAACCTTCTTTACTGAAAACCTCCAGCAGCAAAGAAACAGTTAACAGAACTTTTCAAACAACCAATCAGAACAAAACAGGCACCAGTATAAAACCACTGAGGCAGACCCTCCCACTTCCTCTTTCTTTGATGAGGTCGAGCAGAAGAGCATGAAGACCAAACGAAAACTGTATCCGGCAAGCTCAGATGAGAAAACGCCATATCCAGAACAGTTCAGATCACACTGTAAAAGAAAAGAAACATCGTGAAAGTAAACTGCCATAGCAGAATGTCACACCATACACAATCAGCGCATTAATAGACCACAAACTGATAAATAAATGTACACTGATCACCAATAGTAGTAACAAAAGTGTTTATTAAAAGAAATTTGAGCCATACATGAAAATGCATACAATGAAACCCCAATTAACATAAAGGCAAAACAAATCCAATTCCCTGAGGGAAAACAATAAAATTTAGATTATTCCCTCACCGAGGCTAGAATAATCCCTAATTTTATGTCAGGACAGGAGGCTTCATATTTGCAATTTTAACGTCCAGACATAAAAATAGAAGAAACACGAGAGCGTGGGCGAAAGTAAAAGGTACGGAAAGTCGACTCTCCAGACCAGTCAGCGGCGTTGAGGATATCCACAAGTGACCCACCGGCTTCAAGAGCTGCTGATGCAGCAGCGCCCCGAACCGAATGTGCCCCAAATGAATTTGCCCACCAAAGAGAGGAGCCATCAAATCCAACGAGCGATCGTGGGTGCAGACACAGCCCCAAACGGTCGGACGTAGGAAATCAATAACTGGCCATGCGCGGAAGGCCGACACAACGAAGTCACAGAGATATATGTCCGTAAACAACGTGCCACACAGAGACGTGGTCTATCTGGAAAGTAGGGATAAGACACTGAAGACGAATTAGATTTTGTCCTGCATGAGATAGAAACAGAGACACCATCTGGAGAAAAAGAAAAGGATTCTACGTCAAAGGCCCAGACATCCGAAACCCGACGAAAGGATACAAGGCATAAAAGGAGAGCCAGCTTAGAAGAAAGCTGGCGTAGAGCTAGATCCCCATTATCGGGCCATTCCTCAAGGAAATGTAAAACAAGGTATACGTCCCAAAATGAGGAATAGCGAGAAGCAGGGGGTCTTGAAAGTCTCACCCCTATGAGCAGTCTGAAGACCGAGGGTTCTCTACCAACACCAGAGCCTTGGAAAGGAACATGAGCTGCTGAAATAGCTGATCGGAAAACATTGATAGTCCTATAAGACTTACCCTGAGAAAACAATTCAGCCAGGAAATTCAGGACGGCCATAATAGGGGCCGTAAAGGGATCCAAACGTCTCTCCAGACACCAGCCATGCCAGGAGCACCAGGCGTGTAAATATGATCTTCTGGTGCCAGGTGCCCAAGAGTCTCAGAGTAATTCTCTAGCCGTGGTCGATAGTCCCGACACATCCAGGAACCCCGGAAACGGTCCAGGCCACCAGGGTTAGTCGATCCTCCAACATCAACGGATGTGGGTTCCCCCCTAGGTCCCGTAGGAGAAATCTGGAGGCAGGCAGCACTAGAGGATCCCTGCATGATAGCTCCAGTAGCAGAGGGAACCACGGCTGACTTCTCCAGAGAGGTGTCACCAGTATGATCTACACCTTCAGAAGCTTGATGCGATGTAGCGTCCGAAGGATCATGGAGAAGGGGGAAACGCATATGCCCCCGACGGGGGCCATGATTGAAGGAATGCGTCCACCGCCATGCTGAGGGGATCTGGGAGCCAGCTGAAGAACAGTTCCGTCTGTCGATTCACCCTGGATGCGAATAGATCCAGATGGAGGGGACCACGAATGAGATCCAACTTCCGAAACACCAGAGGGTGCAGTCGCCAGTTGCTGGCGTCCCTCCAGTGGCGGGAGAACCAGTCCGCCATGAGGTTGTCTTGTCCCGGAAGACATTCCGCTACGATCGACAACTTCCTGTCCAGACAGTATTGGTACAGATCCTTCGTGAGATCCGACAGCAGTTTGGATCGGGAACCTCCCAGTCGATTTATGTATCGGACAGCTGAGACGTTGTCCATGCGCAGAAGCAGAGAGCAATGACTCTTCCCTTTGGTGAAACTGCGAATGGCAAATGACCCCGCAATCAGCTCCAGACAGTTGATGTGAAGAGCTTTTTCTTCCGGGGTCCAAAGTCCTCATGTCGCCACGCCATTGCAAGCAGCGCCCCAACCAAGGCAGCTGGTGTCCGATTCCAGGACGAAGTCCGGTTTGGTCCTGAAGATCGCCCTGCCATTCCACGCCTTCATGTGTCGAAGCCACCAGTGCAGTTCCAGACGGGCCTCGTCCGACAGTGATACAGCCTGGTTGTAGGAAGTGGATGAATGAAGGTATCGAGCCTTCAGACGTTGAAGAGCCCGGTAGTGCAGGGGGCCTGGGAAAATGGCCTGAATGAAGGACAAAAGTAGACCTATCGTCCTGGCCAGATCTCGGAGGGTGGTCCTCGGATTGCGGAGTAGACGTCTGATGTCCACTGATGGCAGCCACCTTGGATACTGAAAGACGGAGAAGCATCTGAACCGAGTCCACAACAAACCCGAGGAACTGGACCGATTGGGAGGGCGCCAGTTCCGACTTCTCCACATTGATGACGAAACCTAAGTCCTGGAGCAGGCGGATAGTGAAAGCCGTCTGCTGATGCAGAACATCAGGATCTTGTGCCATCAACAGCATATCGTCCAGATAGACGATCGATCTGATCCCCCTGGCCCTCAGCGTTGCCATGACCACCTTCAACAGCTTGGTGAAACACCATGGGCCGAGCTGAGGCCGAACGGGAGGCATGTGAATTGCCAAACGCATCCCTGCCAGATGAACTGGAGGAAGCACCTGTCCTCCCGATTGATCGGAACCGTGAGGTACGCGTCCTTCAGGTCTAAACGCGAGAACCAGTCGTTCTCGCGAAGTAGATCCCCGAGGAGGTGAATGCCCTCCATTTTGAAATGTCGGTAGACGACATATCCGTTGAGGGCATGCAGGTTGATCACAGGGCGGAAATCCCCTGATTTCTTCCTTACCAGGAAGATATTGCACAAGAAGCGAGGTGGACCTGTCGCCCTTTCCACCGCTCCCTTGTGCAACAGGGTGCGTATCTCTGCATGGACCAGATTGGATGCCTCTCTGTCCATAAGGATAGGCTGTGGGGCAGCGGTCTGTATCGGGGTTGACACAAAATCGATCCTGAATCCTGAAAACCTCCAGCAGCAAAGAAACAGTTAACAGAACTTTTCAAACAACCAATCAGAACAAAACAGGCATCAGTATAAAACCACTGAGGCAGACCCTCCCACTTCCTCTTTCTTTGATGAGGTCGAGCAGAAGAGCATGAAGACCAAACGAAAACTGTATCCGGCAAGCTCAGATGAGAAAACGCCATATCCAGAACAGTTCAGATCACACTGTAAAAGAAAAGAAACATCGTGAAAGTAAACTGCCATAGCAGAATGTCACACCATACACAAAATCGATCCTGAATCCGGACACGGTCTGTAGAACCCACGGGTCTCCTGTGATGGCCCCCCACTGAGGAGAAAAGTGACACAATCTGCCCGCAATGGGTATGTGTGGTAAATAAGGTATGACTCTTACCTGAGGCGTATCTTGCTCGTGTGGAGGGGGCACCTCGGCCTCTGGCCGATCCTTGTGAAAATAATGGGCGGTACTGGTACCGAGAGGAGAAGGAGAAGGACTCCGAGATGCGGGGCCTGTTGCCCATGAAGGCAGCTCTGCTGGTGGCGCGGCCCCGGTGCCGACCAGCCCTGGAGGAAAAACGATCCCCGGCACGGAAAACGCTGCGGAGTGATAGTTGCGCCTTGTTCAAGGACGTGTAGATGGATACGTGCCGGTTCAATTCTTTCATGAATGCGTCTCCGAAGAGCAGACCTTTGACCTCCGTGCCTAGCTCTTTGGAGGCTAGATCGGTCAATTTTCCATCCAATTTGTAAAGTGCCACCTTGCAGAGTTCCGAGTTAAGTGCCACATTGGCATTTCCCAGGAGGCATATTGACCTCTGTGCCCACTCTCGGAGGAGGTAGGCGTCCACCACCGGACCGCCTTGAAGGGCGTCATCTGCCATGAGGAAGATCTGGGTCAGCGGACCACTGATGTCGAGGAGCTTGTCCTGGGTGGAGCGCAGACCCTGTTCCAGGCCCTTACGGGGGTCCTTCCCTGACCTTGTCATAAAAGTTGCGAACACCGGGTCAAAATCGGGTGTGGTGGCTACCTTATCCGGTAGTGTCGGGCGCAGGCATTCAGCCCGAAGTTTCGCTATGACCTCCTGGTCCAATGAGCGACGTAACCAGTAGCGGAGAAACTCCGCAATGTGATCCGGGGGTGTCCATTCCGCAGAGCGAGGTTGCTTGAGGAGGCGAGGGTCGAAGAGCGGAAGACCCGAGGGGTCTAAAATCTCACTGGGGACATCAGCATGAGCGGTAGAGGCTTTCTGCAAGCTGGACAGAGTAGAGTCCAGTACCGTCCCGCACATATTGGGAAAAGCGGTCAGGAGTGCCTTCTCCGGGGGACGCGGAGCCAGATCCGCCAGCCCGGTATTCATCCAGGACGTCATAGCCTGGTTCTGCAGAGAGTGCCCCTTCTTCCGGGCGGCCACCCAATCCGGTGCCCAGTCTGGCCAGTTTGGCAGGCATCTTGCCCTTGTCAGTGGGGGCGCATGGGCCCAACTGAGGCCTCTTTCGTACCGAGCCCAAGTCGGTGGAACGTAGGGAGCCCCCAGAGTCAGAGTCCCGTGCACTAGAGGGTCCGGTGTCGAACCCGCAGGGGCAGGCAGGGCGTCCCCATGGAGGGCAGCCATGCTTGGAGGCCTTCAGGGGCGTGGAAGCCAGAGTCATCCGCCATGATATTATTTACTGGAATAGAGGAAAGGTACAATCAGTGAGGTACCTAAATAGGGCCGGCTTGGGGTCACCCAGCGTGTAAAAGGGGGTCACCCAGCAAGCACTAGCATATAATGCAATTGGGGGGGTCACCTTCAGTTTTATGCCCAGAATCCTGGTGGTTTGGCCAGTAGGGAGGGGGTCACCCAGCCCATAATAGTGCTACAGCACAGTAATATATCCCAGTATAAGGTATAGGTAGGGACCGTGTCCCAGTGATACAGGCAAGACAGGGGGGTCACCCCTAATGTGGCAAGGTAGTGCAATCCACTTGTATGTACAATACACCTGTCATGGAAAAGAAAAAAACTGCAGTACACACAAAACAATTAACACTGAGGTGCTTTAAAATGTCCTGTTACTCCAGAAATACAATACACATCCTAGAAATACAATCAAATTCTTGTAAGAAATGTGAACATGCCCAGGGGAAGGGAATGTTAACAGGCAGTCTGCCCACCCCTGCCAGCTGCAGCCACAGCTACCATGGGGCACAGAGAGCCAGGCCACATGGCCAGAGAAGCAGAGGGGCCAAGGGAGACCGAGGCCCGGGCGTCTGGTGCGCCCGGAGACCACGTGGCTCCAGTAAAATGGCCACCATGGGACGGCCACGAGAGTGAGGATGCAGGTAGAAGCGGCCGGGGACCGCCTAGGGAGGATAGGGGGAAGAGAGAGGGGGGTATGGGAGGCGGGAACCCGCGAGGGAACCGCCTAACCGAGCCGCGGGAGAGGCGGCCGGAGGCAAAACCCCAGAGGAGCCCAGAACAAGGGCAGTAAGGGAAAACCACCCCCAAACACCCTGAACCCCGAGATGGGTCAGGAGGCACTACCCCAAAGAGCACACCGAGAGTAACTATTAGACAAAGGTATGCAATAACACATCAATGCATGAATAAAATCGAAATTACAACCCAGAGCAGAGACAACTCTGAGTTGGTGCGTGCTCACTTGGAGGCAGCAGCAAAGAAAGAGGAAGTGGGAGGGTCTGCCTCAGTGGTTTTATACTGATGCCTGTTTTGTTCTGATTGGTTGTTTGAAAAGTTCTGTTAACTGTTTCTTTGCTGCTGGAGGTTTTCAGTAAAGAAGGTTAAGCAAATATGAAGCCTCCTGTCCTGACATAAAATTAAAAAACCTGACTCCAAAGCATACATATGTTTAAGGCAATGTATTCACTTACTGGTGCTCCAAGTGTGCTCATGAGTATTCAGAATTATGTAGAGGAATGCCAGCTGTCCCGGGCTTTGCCGGGACAACCAGGCATTCAATGTGACTTAAAAAAATAAAAATAAACTTCAGAAAAATAATTACACAGCCCATAATGTTTAAGTTAGTTAAATATACATTTTGCCTACCTTTGCACTAAACCTTTCCTCATTGCCTTACTTTGCAGCACATACATACAGCAGATGTTTTCAAATATGCATATGACATTGAATGATGTCTATTCAATAAACCGATGATCGTGGAGAATTGAAATGTTACGAAATGTTTGCTAAGTTGGGTTTTGTTTCTATTTCTGGCACTATGGCCTACATTTTGCAATATACTTGTCAATTCTCAACAATTTAGTGAATTACCTCCTTTATTTTATCACAGTCAGGATTTTCTTTACTAAAGTTAGAATTCAAAGTTAATTAAAAGTACATTTTAAATTTAAGGTCAACATAACCAAACTGGAAGTCAGCTGTGCTTTCAGTTTGGATACTGTGGGATTAAATTTGAAATTCACTTTGCAATCTCCCTTTAGCAAATAACCCTGAATGAAATCTCAAGACCATCATATGTATTCCTTGGTCTGACTTCTGTGAACACTAGAGGGCGATACACATCTAGTTAAAATGAAAAAACAGAGATCGTAGTAGAATCACGATCAGGACACAATGGTCTCTGACTCACTTATTCCTATGTGTGCACTGTATAAGAGACCCTTCATCCTTAGGACATTTTTGGTATGAATCTGTACTCCCATGGTATACTGACCTGTGACTTAATTCTTATTGTTATTATGAAAACAATAATATTGTTTTTTTGTTTTTTTTATGAAGCCTAATGTGCCGAAAACTGCTCCCTGGTTGTGCTGAATAAACAAACTCAAAATTTTGAAATTTTGAGTAATTTATGGAAAACTCTACAACTTAAGGGGGTTATTTACTAAAGAATACTTTTTTGTGAAATGAAAACCGGATTTAAAATCAAAGTACCGGTAGCTGATTTTAAAAACGTATCAAACTCCTTCACAATGTTGGCTGGTAAAATTTAAAGATGATGGAGCACTAGACTTTAAATACAGAATTTGACTCTGGCTCCTGGCTCTGCACTTTGCATTACATGTACTCCTAATCCAATGAGACCCCATATCCTGTTGAACACCATGAACCTATAGTAACTCATATGTTGGGAATAACAAGCACTTTAAAGAGGTCTACCGTCACTATTTGACACTATTTCCCAATGACATCACTAGAAGACAGAACTATATGTAGGCTTCTCTTTTAGGGAGTCAAGAATCAAATCAGAATCAAATGGTCAAATGAAAAACCCATGGAGGATGTCATAAATACTGTAAGAGCAGTAGGTAGTTGTTAGAGGTCTATACCTAGAAATTGGCCATTGTTAAAAATAAAATTCCCCAACATATTGGCATATTGAAATTCAAAGGGAAGTTTGAAGATGCGGCTGAGTGGTGAATTTGGCCAGCAGAAACAGATAGGAGGAGCATTTGGCCGCCGTCCAATTGGTAAGGATACATTTGTTCGCTTTTATGTGGTTCAAGTTGCACAGCTGAGCAGTGCATTCAGCCTGCTCGACCTGAGAAGGGGATTGGTTCAAAGTCTTTGAACAGGTATGTTTTGTGACACCCTGGCATGCTCCCTCACTCCCAGTGCTGTTTTCATACCTCCCAATGTTGGAGGTAGAGTATCATACCTCCCAAAATTTCAAATAGGCAAAGAATTATAAGAGTGTGTCTAGGCACAGGGCTGTTCTGAGCAATTTTAGGTGACTTACTAATAATTTATGTAACTAAAACATAATTTTGAACAAGAACAATGTATCTTATTTACAGAGAGTGATATCTAAACATATTTATTGTAGTTTAAATACACATTACTGTATTTTTACACTAGAGCTCTGAAACACTCAGACACACCAACATGGCATATGCATTGTCCCCTTTTGGCATATGCGTAATCTACCCCATGCCCCAAAAAAACTCAGGCACCTTGCATTGGGAAAATTATTATCAAAGCTTTGATAAACATATAAAATGATAAGGTCATTGTCAACACAATACATAATACAATATTAACCCCATTCCTTTAACATAGCTACCCCAACAATGACCCACATAAACAACCATTGATACCACCTATAACATATAAATAAACATAAAAACATAAACCATTGCCACCGAGGGCATGATTTCCCAGCTTTCCCAATGTAGGGGCATACCAAGATACACCCTACACACACCAGGTTCGGAGCTACCAACAAGCTCAAACCTACCAATACCATTCCAAACCTGTTTCTGGCGAGCTAAAACTATCATACATATGAACAAATGACTGTAACGGCACCCCCAGGCATAAAAGGGTTCAACCGCCGTTTAGAAGATCTTCCCTTCGAGAGACACAGGCACAGCTACTGCAGAACACCAAACTCCCGAACTGAACACAAGGGAATGTTCCAAACTCATGAACTGCATACAAAGTAGCACTCCAAACTCACGAACTGGAACCTCACGAACAGTGGCGTACTAAGGGGGGGGCGGGGGGGGCGGTCCGCCCCGGGTGCCAGCAGGGTGGGGGGTGCCATGACCAGCCCCGCCGCCCCCCCCCCATGCTGCAGCCACCCGAGCGCTCTGTAGAGAGCCTCAGGCGGCTGCAGCATTGCCCGGGCGGTGCGTCCAGGAGGGCGGACCGCACCGCCCGGGCACAGCCTGAGGAGAGGCTGACAGGAGGGAGCGCTCAGCGCTCAGCGCTCCCTCCTGTCACTCCCTCTGTAGTAGCGTGGCCGAGCCCAGTATAGTCCGCGGGTACAGGGAGCAGCTGTCTCCTGTACCCGGCCGGACTAACAGGAAGTGCACACAGTGTGTGCACTTCCTGTTAGTCCGGCCAGGTACAGGAAACAAAAGCTACCTGTACCCGCCGACTATACAGGGCTCGGCCACGCTACAGCAAAGGTAGGGGGGGACAGAGAAAGAGAAGGAGGGGGAGGGGGAGAAAGAGGAGAAAGGTGGGGAGGGGGGGGAGAAAGGAGGGGAGGAGAAAGAGGAGAAGGGGTGAGAAAGAGGAGAAGGGGGTGAGAAAGAGGAGAAAGGGGGTGAGAGAGGAGAAAGGGGGGGTGAAAAAGGGGGGGTGAGAGGAGAAAGAGGGGGGTGAGAGAGAAAGGAGGGGGTATTAATTATGTATTAATTATGGGGTGTAATTATGGGGTGTATATTAATTATGGGGGGTGTATTAATTATGGGGGTGAATTAATTATAGGGGTGGATTAATTATTGGGGATGTATTAATTATAGGGGTGGATTAATTATTGGGGATGTATTAATTATGGGGGGTGGATTAATTAGTGTGGATTAATTATGGGGGAGTGGATTAATTATGGGGAAGTGGATTAATTAAGGGGGTGGATTAATTAGTGTGGATTAATTAAAGGTGTGTGTATCAATTAAGGGGGGTGGATTAATTAAGGGTGTGTGGATGAATTAGTGTGGATTAATTAAGGGGTATGGATTAATTAAGGGGTATGGTTTA